GTCATTGGGCAATTTCGCTCTTATTCATTCATAGTACGGATCGACGAGCAGTTGTCTAAAAAATTCCGAATAATATCCGTATTGGATTTAATAGGTTTTTAACACAGCGCTACAGTGTCTTCCATATGTCATCGTTCAACAGATACGAATCGAGTTACAGATCGCTTTTCTCATTGAAGGAAGCATCAATTTTGGATCTTAAGTTCATCAATGAATAGCTTTCTAAGTGCTCTATCTGATGATGTAACAGTCAGATTTTGCAGTACTTAAGGTAAGACATGAGAATAACTTTAGCCGTTTTTCGACCAATTTTCACTTCATAAAAGTCATTGAAGTAAGGTGAGGATGAGGATAAAATACAATGATATATAATTATGTGTACATCTCGGAACTGAGAACACTACAGGACGATCTAATATCCGTTAATTCATGAAAGAATAAAGATAAAATCCATTATACACACATTATTTACAGATTTGTCGAGTAAGTGCAGCAGGCTAAATGCATTTCTCTTGTACCTGCAAGCACATATTAACAATCGAGTGCATTAAGCCAAAAGTCATTTCTGCAGCCAGTGTTGAGGCACACAGTGAGCGTCAAAATGGGAGTACCTCGATTCCTTAGTACTATCAAGTTATCAGGATTGCTTGAGGGTGAGGATGTGAGAACAGCTACCATGATCGCAATTTCGACCTTGCTCAAGGGTCTCATTAGATGGCTTATATCTCTAGTTCGATTCCATGTGGAATCAAGTGATGATTGGCTCATATTCCAGAGGTTTGGATCTTTCTTATGGTTCTCCTGTAGTGGCAAGATAGATAGAAATAGTAATCGATCGATATAAGTGAATTTGCATTTTTAGAATATATGTTTATACATGAATGCAGGTGTCACCTGTAGTCAGATCTAAAGACAGGCATTGTTTCAGAGCATAACAGAGTGCAAAATAATATGGATTTATTTGCATGGAATTATCAATGTTAGAAGAAATAGAACATATGTTGGTGCATTGAAATACACAAAAACAAGTAAATGAAAATTTTTGAATGAGATTTTCATGTTAATAGTACATTTGCGATTGATTTTGATGTCATCTATGTTGATGAGAAGATGATTTTATTTGTTGTATCTGGTGAGATGAAGTATTTCGTTTCGATATTATCTTTCTTTTCTGTTGTCGTCTATCTAGAAATTGAGGAATTATAATTCTTAGTCTAGAAGCTGACGCATATTTAAATCCATGTAACACTTTGTTTCGATATGTTTTTTTAATAATGAACGTTTAGGTCTTTTGCGTATAAGTTCATTTCTTGTATCTCGACGATTTCGATTGCCAACAATCATCTTAACGTGGGTGTGGGTCTGCATTGTGGGTGTGAGTGTAGGCAAGCAAAAGTCTCCACACTCTCACACATCCACACCAACACCCACACTCATGCCACACCCACCCACCCCACACCCACACCCACACACCCTCACACACCCACACCCACTCCCACACCCACCCACATCCTCGCCCACCGACACCCACACACCCACACCCACCCACACCCATACCCACACCCCACACCCACACGCACACCCTCGCCCACATCCACACACCCACACCCACACCCTCGCCCACATCCACACACCCACACTCACACCCACCCACACCATCACACACCGACACCCACACCCACACACCCATGCCCACACCCACACTCACACCCACGTGCACACTTTGTCATGTTTTGCCAAATTATTATTTGATGGTTCAGTGCTTGTACATTTGTGTTTTCTTTCCACTTTTACCTTGAAATTGATGGCGATAGTGAAAGAAAAGAATTATGAAGCAAAGTCTGTCATGTAGTGTCCAAGTAGACAAACATTTTCAAAAACGCGTTTAAAGGCATAAAAATGGGCATAAAATCCGTGAAAAGTGGACGTGTTTGGCTCACAATCGCGGTTCCCGACTGTCAGCGAAAAACGACCACTTTTTGCCCTTTTTGTGCGTTTAAACGCGATTTCAGCAAAAACAAGCTTGTAAACTCGTATAAACGCATAAAAAGAACATAAAAAGTAGTTATCTTTTCCCTTTTCGCGAACTGTGATTGTAATTATGATTGTGATTTATGAGTATGAAAAAGATGACAACTTTTTATGATCGTCTTATGCGTTTAAACGCGTTTTTGAAAATGTTTGTCTGCTTGGGTGGTGATGAAAAAGCTTCTATGCGATAAGTCACTTTGGTGCGTTTGTTTT